CTCCAGATCCTCCTGTTCCGAGGGCATCGATTTCATCAGGATTCTCCCGCGTTCTGGACATAGCTTATTTGTACTGAAGTCTTCTGATTGCTGTCATTTATAATCATTGCAACTTGAAAGCCCTTTCCTTAAACCCGCTAGCCATGGTTCTTTCATAAGCAGTATTTATTCGCCTGTCATGCTTTTGATAAGATACGCCATGCTAAACACCCCTTCCCATTCCCTCCAGCGGGATAATCGTGTCTTAGAGCTGGCAGCCATTTCAGATGTGTGATGATTTCCCTGGAAATTACACCATGGAAATGGGCAAAGCACACTACCAGGGTGGAAGGATGATCTCTGGTAGAATAAAACCTGCACCACAAGGTTCCCATGTGAATGTCAGCACAACTGCGGGGTTTTCAGAATTATCTGCAAAATTTCTGTCCGCACTTAAGCTAACTCAAGGAAGACCTGCAGAGTATCTGGCCAGAATCAGACCCAAAATGCAGTTCTTCAGAACTATTCAAGAAAAACGGCACAGCTGTGCTTGTGGCCAAGGGTGAAGGCTGGAGAGCTGCAGGTGAGTATTCTGTTCCCAGTGCTGATCTAGTTATTTTAACCCTTCTTAGCCCAGCCTCTCAGCATTGCTGTCGTTGGTGTTTGAGCATTACATTAATTGATGTTTGCAAAGCATGTTGAATTCCTCGGAGTGAGGCTGCTGGAGAGGCCAACCGTATTATGTAGCGCAGCACTTGAAATGCACCTGTCACTGTGATATCCAGCGTTAGATAGCTGAATTATTATTCTGCCCGCTCCCTGGCTCTGTCATAGCCACTTATTTTTCTGACAAAATGTTTTTAAAATCCTGTTAGCTTTACAGCGTTTCTCTAGCTATGGGAGAGTGAGCTGGCATCTATTTCTGCTCATGCATCAGCTGAATTGTCAGTTACATTTTGATTGCACAGTCTTTTAACAATGATAAGGTAAGAAGCCTGATTTTCAGATATCTCTTGAAGTGTGCAGTGCTGGCAGCAGAAAAATCCTTCTTTGACTTATAACCTGAGCCAATTTGCTCTGAAATCAGTGACAGCAAGTAAATATGGAACCTTGCTGTGCTGTTAGACAGTCACTTTTCACCACCGAGCTGCACATTAGTGTATTAATTTTAGTATAAAAATAGCAATCCTTAACTAGGTTTCCCCCCTTTTTTCCCTCTCTCGCCACTTGAAATCACACCTAAAATTATGAATTGCCTCGTCGTAGCCATTGCTTCTCTCAGCATATGCTGAATTAGTGCATCTTTGTGAGGCTCTGTAGCTTTAACTGACGTGAATCCATGTGACAACTGTCACATCTAGGACACGGCCAGGTCGCCAGGACTGGATGGCAAAGATCTGACAGCAGCTGGATCTAAAAGATCTAAAACAGTTAGAGTTCATCCTGGCGTAGGGCCCTCCCTGTTGTTCCACGTTTGATTGCGTGGTGACAGAGTCCACAGGGCTATCAGCACGGGCTGGATAACAGTTCTCGGAAAATCGGCGGCTGCTTAGGCTGTGTTTGTGTGCTCAGCTCAGCCTTTGCCCTCAACTGTCCTGTTTGTTTTGAAGACAAGAGGTCATTAATCTCGGTTGCCTGGAAATAGCGCTATTTGGGCTCTCCAGGATGAAAAGGGGTTGAAGTGGCTGGGGAAGAAGAGTACTGACCACACGAGTCTGTACAGAGAGGCCTCGAGAAAGTACCAAGTTGGTTGTCCTGAGATTCAGCAACCTTACAGTTTTTTTCTCCCTGGCAAGTGCAGTGCAATCCTGCCGGACTTTCTGGCTGCACTGTGACCTGCTCAGGCTCTGCTCTGGGTGGAGATTCAAAGAGCATCTCCACGGGACTTACACCACCCAGCTCCTTTCACAGGAACTTTTAACAGCAGCTGGAGTGCTCTTGTCCAGCCTCACTGGACACGAAAGGCTCCATGTCCCAGAGTTACTTCCTTCAACCATCCAGTCCTGCCCGTTGAGCCAAACATTTTCGAAATAGCTGCTTCCCCTTCATCAGTGATTTAGCTACGAAACCGTGAAGCAGACAGGAAACATGCCCGCCTCTATTAGAAGCAACAGGAGTTGATGTATGAATATTTAACACGGGAAAGGTAATTGGATGAAAATATTAATTTAGCAACATTCTAACTAGCAGAAGAGAAACGGTAACCTCCAATCGTGCAATCACTTGGTGCAGCTTTTCTCCTCTGCCTATGAGTTTCTTTCCCTGTGATCAGAAAATTACAAAACCCTGGAGTCTCCTTTTATGTGATTAAAATAATAACAATAATAATAATAATTGCTCTCTGAATTTGTATGCTGGATTATTCCTG